ATTATTGTTATTGAATGCAAACATCATTTTTATTTTCATGTTCAGGTTTTTCTGAGAATTTCAATGTATAAAAATGAAATTTCATAGGATGGGAGTTAATGAGTCATAAAATGTAATATTCAGTATTAGAATTTTAGATAAGTAGGGTTGTAGACTAACGTATTGCGGGGTACCTCTGTATACCACTCAACTCCGGTTACCTATCTAAAATTTAAGTACTATTACTTATCGCTGATTCGAAATTCGATTTTTATGTGTGTATTTGAATTCTCAGAAAAACACTCTGCATTGGAATATTAAGTTAAAACGCGTATCCTGTCATTAAAAAAAAGTAAAACCATAAAAATATGAAAAGTGTAATATTTAAAAAAAAAAAATGTTGTTTTGTAATGACTTAAAATTAGTTACGTAAAAAAAAATATTTGTAAAAAACTTTAATACTTTTAAAGATAATTAAGTTCATTGTTAAAATAATCACCTTTTAAACCTATAACATAGGTATAATAATATATTATATTGTTAATACAAAAATCTATTACTTGATGTCAACTCAAAAATGCACTCAACTCTGCACACAATTAATATTTTTGAACAATTATTCACAGAATATTTACAAATATACATTTAGATCACGTTAATAAACGTGGACTCTACAGTAATTATTATGACTTTTATTGAGATTTTATTATTATTATTTTTTTTTTGATCCCATTTCATCAACTTTTATTGAATAGAATTGTTGAATATAACAAACGTGTATACCAATGGTATGGTAGCCGGTCAGACATGGTATTTTTTTCACATCATGAAGTGAAAATTAACGCCAATATAATAACCATTAAAATCGGTGACCGGTTTTGAGAAGTCGGTGTTTTCGTACATTATATTGATATGACGGTTTGTTATTACAAATTGAGTTCACGTGTTTGTATTTACGCATATAATTATGATTAGCTGTTTAGCAGTCATAATATATTATTATTGTAACGTGCTTGACGACGATCCCAGCCCAGTGTGGTATAATATAATTAATAATAAACAATATTAGAATTTCTATGTCATATTTAATATATTATAGTGACAGCTGTCACACGCATTAGCTGTGTGTTAATATAATGGATAAAACGTTATTATATTTTAAATAAAATACGATTACCTGAGTAGCTGCTTCTGTGCAGCAAGATCTATGTCGGACACTCAGACTTAATCATGGTCACCTATGCAATTCCACGTGTAGAGGTTCATTTTCGCGAACTACCTACTTATATAAAATTTATTATATAGAAAATGATTTTAAAAATTATTCTATTCAACTGTACAAGTAATGTACATTACACACAAACGACCGATGTGTGTGACACTTTTGGGCACTGTAAAATATAATGTTAGGACCATGGCACCTCGTGTGATATTCGTCAAAATTGTCATCCGGTGGCCGGTGGAAGGACATTTTAAATTTAAACAACGCACTTGTGAAGGGAAACCGACCGTTTTTCAATGTATAGGCTATGTGGATTTGGAAAATAAGTCTGGACTTTTTATTTTCTCGTCTTATTCAGACCCTCTTGGGAACTTTTAATCAAATGGAACACTCATTTAAAAAAACTTGACTTTAAAATGTAAAAATATTTTATACGTTTTCGTTTTTTTCAACGAATAATTATTTACTCATATGTTTTTTCATGTGTATAAATAGAAAAAGTTGTTCTTAGGACACCCAAAGTAAACATAATATTATACTATTATGACGTTTAAATAATCGGTTTTCAATATCAAAATTCATAAACCGTTTAATTTATATAGGTACCTGAGAATGGTTGAAAAATTTAAAAAAAAAATTATTATTTTAAATTGTTCTTACTGGAATTAAAAAAAAATAATTTAACATAATATATAGCCACACATGCTCATCATCATAAATTATGAGTGAGAATTGTCCGCATACAGGTGGCAATAATAATTGTAAGCTATCCCTAAAAACCATCGGGCGGTAGACGTTCGGGTGATGGCAATTGACCTAGATTCGGTGCATATTTTTGTGTATATTACACTTTATATTATGTGTATACGATGGGTAGGTATACTGCAGAGTATGCGCCCGGGTCATTTATTAATAATAAATTGCTGAATATATCAGGAACCGAACGCTCTTTTATGGATAAATAAAACAAAGTAATCGACCAGCCACTCTGCGTGTGATGTCCGTCTTCATATTTTCGATGCGTTTTAGTCATACGTGACTGGACGTTTCGAGTGTGTGTAATAAAAACGTATTCCTCTATGTAATATATTATGTTAGTCATCGTCGTCATCTGGACTACCGCCATCGTCGTTGACAAACATTTTCATTCGCATTACGACCGGCACGGTAATATCGTCGGTCGAAAAGCTTCTCACGGCAGATTATCCGCAATATCAGTTATTTCGTAACTTGTAATGGAATTTTTTATTTCGACGCCCTCCGATGTTTGCAAACGGCTCTCGAGACGTCCCCCCCCGAAAACCGTTATTTTCGTAACCTATTTTCGTATCGAATTATACGTCGCCGTCGACAGCTTTAAAATAAGACAAAAAGGAAAAATCCCATAAAGAGTTGGCAAAAGTTTTGTGTACGCGCTAATTGAAAACCCGTGTACGGCGGACGAACCGAAGAAAGTTACCACTCGCGTTATGACCGGAATTGCCCACTCGTCCCACCCCCATACGGTCTCTCCCCGTCCCATCGCCATCGTACATATATATATATAATACACACTGTATACCTCTTATACCGGAGTCGACCATATCGAGAGTCTTCGTGCAGGCGTATGTGCACCTGCAGAGTATAGTGCGGACACGACGGTCTTTGGGGGGGAGACATCTTTAATCAAGTGCATCCCGACCCGATGCCAAATCCAATCGTCGGAAAACCCTGCAGTCGTACCCTACGTATATATATATGCGTGCGTTTGTTTGCCAAGCGCAATTAAGCTGATCGCTGTATCGTTCGGAAGGAATTGGATCACCAAACCGATTTTATAGTTTTTAATTGAATCTGCGCGGTTACAATATATTGTACCACGTATAAACGTATTATACCACATATTGTAGCCGTATCGTCAAATTTTACCTGCACACAGCATCGATGTAGTATAGAGGGCGCGGTGTCAAGTGTTGTCTAAAAAAGAGTTTATTGATTTCAAATTTTGCATATTATAAGGAACGAATTATGTCGACGCATACTTTATAATGCACGGACAACTGCAGGATTCTGCATTTATGTTTTATCTGGTAAATACCTAATGGCTAGCATATAGTGGTTCTTCTTCTTTTTTTATAATTTATAGGCTTATTATTTATAATCTTTTAAATAATTTATGATTATTACCATTGCAAACTGTACTTATGTAATAATTATTAATTGTATTGTTTGTGCAAAGTTTGAATGCATTTTTCAAAAAGCTAACAATATAATATTGTTTTATTATCTTTACTTTTACTGTATTATTTTCACTATCCACAAACTGTTGGTTCACTAGGAACCTCTCATCTAATATAAAATAATATCTAAAACAGGTACCTTTTGCAATTAATATAAATAAAACAACTTCAAATATGATAATATATTATGTCGTTTAGGAAATCAAGAAATAAGATACAGTCAGATATCTAGAACAATAGTCGGAATGATATTAATTTGTGAATCTCCCATGATACATCGCATGTGAAAATTAATTGCAATGTCTAATATATTTTATTTATAATATTATGCTATTCGAATGGTGAAAACTTCTTTTTCTGAAACTATTATATAGGTAGATTACAAATGTTTTACGAAGTTCCGATGTTCAGTGTCGACCATTATTAAAATATCCATAATATTAACTATTTTTTTTTTTTTTTATAAATACAATATGAAATTAAATTATGTAAAATAGATTGAAATAATATGCAATTATGTACAATTATAATGAACGCGTTCGATATTTATTCACCTCGAATATTATTATATTATCGATTGTCAAAACGCATAAACGATAATAATATTGGACAATGAAAACATACGCGGAGAATATGTAATGAACCGATTTTATCTCACTAGAATTTCCTTTTGTATTTTTCGAGCGTACCTATTTTTTTTTTTACTTCGTTGTAAATATTTATACTATTAAAGAGATTGTCCTGCGCGAAATGTTGTCATTGGACATCCATTTGGCCGTACAAACTAACCGGATATACCGCGTACGCGTAAAATTAAAAATAAAATCAAAAGTAATTGGATGGTGATGTCACACGTTTTAGTCCTCGGCTATATATTGACTCGATTCTCTATTATTAGACCACTGCCGACCTTAACTAAACGGAGGAGAGCCTAAATGAACTTGGCGCCAACTTTACTCTGCGCAAGTGTATTGGGTTTCGTTTTTTAAGTGAAATGTTAAATTTTCCTCTGAAAACATAATATAATCTCTATGGGTGCGCACGTGGTAGTCGGTAGGTATTTACCGACATTACCACCACCATCGGTAAACGGCGTGCACTATACACATAGGTATACAATAGGTAAATATTGTTATTTTTGTAGTGAAAAAAAATCTTATTTTGCATTTTATCGCGTCGCAACTATAATTTCCGAAGACGGACGAGTCGGCGGGGCACTCGGTAGTTCTCGTAAATCTTATTAGATAACGAACTCGAAGACGGACTAAAGAATGAATTAAAAACATAAAAAAAAAAAAAACAATAGACATAATGAATGAGACAGCGGCTTTATAGTGGCCACGGGAATTCCCCTCTATTTGCATTACTCCTCGGGTATACGTGTATAGTTTGATAAAAATATTTAATTTTTTTTTCTTTCCTCACTTGTCTCGTTATTATTATTTTTAATGAAATCCTTACACGTTTTACGAGCACCGCGGTCCATATTAATTATGCCCGGTGTTTTTTTTTTTTTCAAACCGCTTTAATAATTATTGTATTGTTAATAATAATACCGAATTTATTACCCGTGTTCACAGGACGAAGACGACTACGAAACCAGCAGTGGATCCGTGAGGTCTGGTTCGGGGGACGCGGCCAGTTGTGATATTGGATTACTCGAACGTCTCATACGCAGTCATCCGATATGGTTTCTGCCAGGAATTCAACGGGCCGGTGCTTTTCACTTGTTGCAAGGCAAAGACGACGGGGTGAGTGTGCATCGGTTATTATAATATGTCTGTGCATACCATTGTACATTGCCCGATTGTCGTCGACCGTGTGTATGGTGGTCGTATCGTCTTTTGTATATACGACCGCTGAGGTCCACAAAAGAATAGAAATCACAAGCGTGTGCTTATCGTTTCAGAACTTCGTCGTCAGACAGTCCAGTCAGACGGGCACCATGGCCATATCCGTTCGTTTGCCCAGCGGCAAAGGTCCGTACATCGAACACTATCTCATACAAGCCACCGCCGACAACCGACTAGCCCTGGAGAGTTCGGACAACAAGTTTGACAGCATCCCCATGTTGATTGCGCATTACGCACAGTGCTGGTAAGACGTCAATTGTTGTTGTTGTTTATGAGACCGTTGTTTTAATGGAAAACGTGTACGTCATAATATTTTATCAATGACACGTCGTAATATTTTGTTTGCATAATTTCAGCGACGAACTGCCCGTACAGCTTATGTTACCAAAAGCTATACAGGAAGCCAAAAATCGACAGCAACTCTCATCGTTAGCGTTACTTGGTCAAGGTCGGTGGTTTTCCGTTTGTCAATAATTCGTTACGAGTTCTCGTTCGTCATTAATATGCAATACGTGTTTTTCGCAGAATTCTGGAGGTATCCTATGGCTAGTTCGAGGAGTTCTCCGGTATTGGATATATCGCCAAATGACGAACCTACAAAGAGGACATTAAACACGTCTATTTCCAGTAGTGCTGCTCACAGTCAATCGAGTAGCCTTAGTAGTTTTAGTAGTGGTGAGATTTATATATTTGTATAATGATCTGTGGTCTATGAATTTATTATAGTCTATTGATAAATTTTCGAAAAAAAAAATGTACCATTATAATTGTATTTATATATATTTACTTTACAATGTGTATTATATATATATATTATATATTATATGTATATTTTCCTTTTATAAGTATTTTACACTTTTCAAATGACAACACAGTTTTTTCAATAATGTGTTATAATGACTTCAAGGCATTATTAAAAAAGTTTTCACAAGCATTTACAGATAAAATTATTGATTAGTGATAGACCTAACAAGCCTATATATATATATATTTGTTATAATATATTGATATAATATTATAATATGATTAGACTGTACTATATACATATAAATGTATAATATACGCAACTATATAATGTTAAATTTTATTTACAGGTAATAATAATCAAGAATCTGGTTTTACAGACAGTCACCTGTCTATTGAAGAATTATCAACTAGTCCAGTGGAAAGTATTCAACAATCTAATGGGATTCTAACTACGTTCAAAAGTTCTTCGAAAGAAGGTAATTACTAATCGTTTTAGACATTATACATAATCCTCAAAAATTATCATTTATTAATGCTGTATACATTTTTAGGTACACCGTCCTCTTCCGATAACTTATCACCACCAATGAGTCTTGTGAGTGGTCGAACAAGACCCACGCCTCCCAATACTTTAAACCTTAAGTCTTCTAATAGTCCAATAGTAACTACGGATGTTGTAAGCTCAACTCATATGGCTAAGACACCACCGCCACCTCCTCCTCGTTGGGCCAAACCTGTAGCTGGACAACAGAATTTTACTGTAACTACTACTGTGACATTTAGTCTTCACAAAGAAACAACTCCTTCACCGCTCATTCAAGTATCTTGTGGACAGTTATCAAAGTCAACAGATGACAGTGAAATCATGCCAGTGATCAAAAGTCCATTAGGTTCTGAAATAACATCTCCAATCTCAGACACAGGTGGTGGATTACGTTCCGGTCGCCGTACTAAAAGAAATAGAATAAAACAATCCAGACACTACAGAGAGAGTGATATATTAGAAACGCCTAATATTTATCATAGAAGTACTTTTGCGGATAAAGTTAGCGACTATGAAGACGTTTGGGGTCCTGACTCGTCTTTGTCTACATTTAAAACTCCTTCCCAAAGCAATAGCGGTACTTATAAAAAAAATACTTCAGAAGTTCCTCCAGAGATGCCACCCGATATTTTGGAACAAACCACCAGTATTCCAACCATTCCTAAAAATACACTAGGTCTTGTTTTACCACTAAACCCAATTAACGATCTCCCGTCTATCACTGACAGTACAACCAGTTTATTGTCACCTGGGTCACCAGAGACAAAATCACCCGTCCCTGAAGATGATACAGCCGAAGCTAAACAAAGCAGCCCTTTTTATGCTGAACCTGCGGATGCCATAAGACAAGTAAACTATTTTAACCATTTATATTAAAAACTAAAATTAACATAACACTAATTCAATTTAAAATAATATATTATAATATAGGCAGCTTTCCTACGTCGCAAGTCGAAACCTTCAACAAATAATTTCCGCAACCGCCATTCAGAGCCGAGTTTTCTTCACCAATGGCCAGCATTAGTCGGCTGTAGCCAATTAACTCGTATTGATTCTAAAGAAGAACTGCTATCTCCTAATGGTAATTACTCTACCAACCAAGCGTTCTCGTCGTCCGTCGACAATATACCGCTGTTGAAAAACTCCAGAAGAGAACCTCTAAAAACTGGTAAGCCCGTAGAAACTCCACGTATTGGTCTACCGAAGCGTGGTCAAGATGGTTCATGGGCAGTAGATTCTAGTTGGGAGTTTATCGGCAACGAAAACGAAAATGCCAACTCATTAGACAACATGGAGCAAACAACAACTAGCCAACCCAATTGTCTAAGAGAATCTCCCGGACGCAAAGGACCTACTATACAAGAGATTATTTTGCAAAGGTAAATTAAATAAAATCTGTTTCCAGACCTTTTTTGACGCTGTCCAAAAACATTATATTTATGATATTAAACGATTATTGTACTAAATATTCTCAGGTTGCCACATTTGAGCTTGTACATCAAAGAACCCAGTTCAACATCCCGAAACAATGATAATAGCGAACTACCTGATCACCAATCTACCGACAGCGTGAACAACAATACTTTGAACTTAAGTGGCTTCAGCAATCTGTCTCTTTTATCTCAGAATAGCGATGACGATACTAAAGTAAATTAAATGCTAATTTTAAATGTGTATAGTTATCTACAATATTATATTTGTCATTTGATTATATTTGTTTTTTACATTACAGACCGAATTTTCTGAGCCATGGGATAGTTCAAGGTGGGAACATTTGTTGCCTGTTGCCAGTAAAGAACAAAATCAAGCACATTTAAAGCCAGTAAATCGAAACAAAAGTTTCTCTGAACGTTTGGATCCACTTTTAGGTAAGATGGATTTTAAGAACATTTTACTAATATAATAATTGTTTTAAGTATAGCTTAAAGTATATGACGTTACTTTGAATAATATATTTCATTCAAATCCTACTATTTTTAGTCAGGTACATTACAAAATTAAATTTGTATGAAAAATACAAAATAAATTCCAATTATAAATTATCATTCAGTATGCCACTTCGTACTTCAGACAGAATGTCGCAATATTACAATTAATGTTTTTTTGCATCAGATTTAACAATTTTATTTAAAATTTTAAGTTTGTATCTTCAAAATTGGATTTAAACATTTTAGAAAATAAAAATAACTGTTTCAAAACTATATTTTAATGTAAGTTTAATGGTTAGATGTTTAAACAATGTCCATACAAGCAGTAATAATTTTGCCTAATTTACATGTTTTTCTACACATTTTTATTCAAAACGTGTAGTGCTCGCCACATAAATACGGGTTTTCTAACATCCTCTCTCTCTCTCTCTCTCTCTCTCTATCTATCTATCTGTCACTATTTTAGATCCGTTATGTTTCGGTATAGAACAAAAACGGCTCCACATTTTCGACCGATAATCGCATCATAATTACATAATAATTAATAAATAAATTTGTATTCTTTCCATGTTGTAAGTGGTGGGGTAGTCAATGAGTCTTCCGGCCTGGAATGAATCATCTAGTAATTAGTAAAAATACGAGCATGGTACATATATCAGGTACATTATAATGTAATATAATACGAGGTCGAATGGCTAATATCTGACCAATTCGGTACATAAATTTTTAGGTGATTACATTTAATCGCTCGGAAAAATCGTTCAACGCTTTTGTACCTTGTTCGACGAATAAAACGCATAAGTCCTACAATATTCCAAATAATAATACGATGTTGCCTTGTTTTTCCCACGATGAACTCATTAAACGTTTTCACACACACGCACCACGTGTCCATCACTATTATACACTCCACATACTTCTCACAGTGTCATCATTTCCAAAAATGTTGCAGACTATAGGTAGTTGTTAGTTGAGGATGATAATATTATATTATTATATAATAATTAATATTACGTATTGTAGGTATATGACCTGTAGGCAGGGTTTGGAACACGCATTTAACTAAACAAATTAATTCACATTAAGTTAAGAATTGAATGCAGTCAAAATAAATTTCTTTCAAAAAGTATATTCACGTTTACATTTACCAAACGTATTGTGGTCATATATAGATACTTATTATACTCGTATCTTATTAATTAAATATATTTATACCTACAAATATGGTAATATATTATTTTTATTTTTTCCAATGCATGAGTAAAGAGTTTAAAACATCTATCTAATATTTTTAGTCAGATAATGAATTATAGCATTGTAAATTTTCATTCGTATTCATTAGTGAAATTAACGCATTTCCAATCATCGTGTACGATTTGAGTGTACCACAATAATAACCCTGCCTTTAGGTATAAATGTATAATCGTTGACTTTGTGAAGGATATCACAACAAATCGATGTACCACGTACTTAATATTTAAGTGCATAGTACTTTTTTTTCACGAGATACCTTTGACTGCCCGCCCCTCAATCTTAGATTTTATACGGGTAATATATACCATGTGGTATTCACTATATCTAGACGAACAATTTTAAATAAATGAAAAAAATTTAGATTTAAAAAGCGATGCAGACGGGTTTTTGGTTACACCGACCGTAAATCGTTCGTGATCTCACGAGATGATGATTAAACACCCGAGAGTCATTAAAATCCCGATAAAACGAGTTTATACTGCCGACAGCCGACCGTATTCGTCTGCGATGTTATACAATTAATAATAATTAAATATTCAAACGACAATAGTCACAGTCGAGAGTCGAGTGCGCAATGTGTTATGTCTCCAAAATAACGGCTCGTAAAAGTCAAGATCATTTTTTTTTTCAACGCACCCATTTATAACGATTGTAAAGAAAACGGACGTTTATATAATTTTTTTTCACCGCCTGAGATTATAGGTAATTACTCGTTTTTCGAGAAACAAGGTTGTACCGTGGGTGGTTCATAATAATAATATTGTAATATTTGTAGCACATTTAATAATACCTGCAGAAATATAATATTATATAATATTTAATATACTTTTACGAAGGTCTCGTCGTGTTGTATTATAAACGGAGGCAGCCAGCCCACATGTTTATTTCTATCTTGTCACTGAAAAAAAAAAAGAATTATTTGTGCGCCCCACGCCTCAACCGTGACATCGATTTTAAAAATGAAAAGTATTTTTAATCGACGGTATAATTGTGTACCAATAAAAATCAATCTTAATTTATATTATATTATTGTTGTAAAAATACTCGAACATTAAATAACCTATTTTCTTCATTTAGATTTATTATGCAACAGGTTGACTGGTGGTTAGGTTAGCCCGTTTGCGCCACTATAGTGTTACTGACATGTGGGCCCCAAAATAAAAAATTAACATTATATGCTGATTTATAGCCCATGCAACGTTTCCGTCAGTATCGTTTAAGAGAAAAATTCCAAAAGAGTTAATAATTTCCGAAAAAATAATCGTCTGGTGTTGATAGAATCATTCTGTAGGACCATATATTACGTCATATTTACATAGGTTTATATATTATTAATAAATTATACATATTATATTTTATAAGTTTGTTAATGAGTTTTGTTACATCTGTACGAATAAATACTAAATTATAGAAATATCTATAAATAAGATCCTGTACATAATATTCCTAACGTGTGAGAAAAAAAACTCAATCCATAGGTACATATTATTATATTTATGACTAATGTATATTATACAGATTACAATTATTAATGTACCTATTGTTCTATATCGTATATCGTCCAATAAGTTAACATTTCAGTTTCCTACTTGTGGATTTATGAATGTCTTTAACTTCGTTTTGAAATTATTGGTGTTGACTTACGCATTAGTTTTTTTTTTAACAAACCAAGAGACCAGATTTCTACTCGCGTAATATTTAAAATAACAAAAACTAATCAAGATCGGTTTTTACTTAAATTACCTAGGTAGTTGTATTAAATTCCATTTTTATTTGATACCTATTACAGTACCCACTCGTGCGTCGATGAAACTGATACAAAAATTACATAGGTACCTATAGAGTTCATAATCTATATCTACAAGTATATTTTAGATTTTATGTAGTTACCCAATAAATTGCGATGTTGCACAATTTTTCACTATTGTTTTTTATCGGGTGCGCAAATGGGTCGTTGCTATATAAATTGATTCAGAGAAAAATTGTTTGCACCGCCCACGTCGGACAATAATAATATATAGGCTGAAGATTGGTATTTTTTTTTATCTCTCATTCTCATACCTACTTCCAGTTATACTTGTTACGACATAATGCATATTATTATTATTATTCTGTATACGAATATGCCGTTCGATTTTCACGTTATAAAATCCAACGACCCCACGACTTACTGTCGTCCGGCAGAGTCGAGCAGACTATACCGTATACCTGCAGTGTTTCTCAACCTTTTTACTGTGCCGACCACCTTTTCGATTTTTTAGCGATTCCCTCGCTAATGTATTTTTTTCATACGCTCGCATAGAATATAGATTTTTTTTTTTTTTAATAATCAATCGTAAAAGTACTGTACCATTGTACACAACATAAACCACCTGTAAGTACGGCCTAAAGTATTAACTGTGGTGTTTACGTTATTCTGTAGCAGTCCCACGGATCCAAGCACTGGCACGAAGCCGCTTGATGGCCCAAACCGGCACCGGTTCTTCGACCCGCGAGTACGCTCTGCAGCTGGCCGCGGACAAGACCACCGTGTTTGCCAGGTCCATCGACAACTTCGTGTGCTGCACGGTCGAGTCCAAGGAGACCAACCCGTCGGTGGTGATGAGGAACGTGCGGCAGTTCATGTCGGGCATGAAGAACTACCTGTTGAAACACGGCGAGAAGGAATTCCAAAAAGTGGTGGAAAAGGAGCGGAGCCAGGTACTATATTTTTACACTTTGTAATTCGATGTTCTATGTATGATAAAACCAGCGGATTCACTATTTATTTACTTTTATTTTTGACGGGGAGGACTTGGAAGCACCCTAAGCCATGCTGGTTTCAGACATATAACGTAATTTATTATTACGCTAATTTCTATCTTATCTACGTGAATAAAACAACCATAGCTACCCGAACGTAGTGTTCTTATAAATTGGTCATTGAAATAAAGAAATCGCACTCATGCACATGTTTATCAAGACGCACTACCCTTTTTTTTTATTGTTGTTATTATAAATTATTTTTAATTACCTCATGCCGTCCACAGTTGAAACCTACCGAATTCTTGAACCTCGACGTGATCCTGGAAGGCGTGATGAACAGGCTGGTGCTCAGAGAACTCCGGGAACACGTTTACAGCCTTCTGGTCGATGAGTACGTCAATAACGGCTCTATACCGTCCATGGTCGAAAACATACACTACGCCAAGTCTAAGAGTATTCAAGACTTTGCTGTCCGAGTAAGTTTATCCTACGAATTAGCCGTTAATCATTTTAATTAGGTCATTAAAATATAAAGCCAACTGTTGCATAGCCATAGGATCGAGGCTTGGGGAAATCTATTTTATAAAAATACTATGCGATATGTCATTGAGTGGCACTCATAAAATCAAAGCTAGGTATTAAAAATTGAATACACAGTTATTGTGATTGTAGACTCTGAGCAACGAATGTATAGATTTCTCTTAAAAAGCTCATACTGTAACCAAAAAATCTAAAAGTTATACTGAATCATTAATAGTAATATAAATTACTTTAATAGCTATAATATCATAAAATATACTCATTACTCACTAATATAGGCTGAGAGACTTGAGTTTTCCTTCAGAATCGTTTTTCTTTAGAGATACAATGTTTTTATATCATTAAATTTAACACATCCATTACTAGTGACCCACTCGACACCTACTACAGTAGCAGAACGATGATCACTATTTTTTTATGATACCTGTATACAAGATTAATGAAAAACAATTATAATTAATGTTTTTGTCATGATATATTACAGTATTAATACTTAAGAATTTTTGGGTTGTTACTTTCTTAGTATTTGGAAAAAAAAGTAATATATTATTGAATTGGATTCTATTATTATTTTTATAGATTAAACTTACTTTTCAGTCAAATATCTACTTAAAATTATAGGTTTGACACAACAAATATAATTATTAGATATAATTTTAATTACAAAAAATAATTTCAACAGTTATGTACTTACTTTATGTACACTGTATTAGAATAAGTCAGCTAAACTGTAAAATGTGTTAATAATTTTTATGTTATTATAGGAAAGTTTAATACCACCCAACGAGAACGATTTGAAGAAAATATCGGAATGTTTCAAACGTCTCCAAGATGCATTTCTGCCATTGGAAAAACTGGAACATCTGTTATCAGCCATCGCTTTAATATTTAATGCTGTAATATAGTTTATAAACTTATGATGTATCTACCGTGTTGATCTAACCAAATTAAATTATTCAGGTTAAAATGCAAAACCGGAATGCAGATGCATGTCTAGGCGCCGATGACTTCCTACCACTGCTCGTATGGGTGCTTGTCCAATGCAACGTCCTTACGGCTGAACTGGAGGCAGAATACATGTGGGGACTGTTGCACCCGTCATTGATACCCGGCGAGGGTGGATACTATCTGACTGCACTGTGCGGGGCTGTGCATGTTTTGAAGAGCTACAAGTCGTCCATGGAAGCAAATACTGTTAATGGCGTGAAGACGTTGGGCTCCGACAATACAGTATGTAACGACAAAATTGTCCGCTTTGTACAAAAAAAAAAAAAAACATTTACTCATTTGTCTTTATCCAGTTGAGTTATGATCCACTGAATGAACTCAAATCTGTTCTCAAAGTCGTTGTGCCCGATGAGACCAATGGATCGCTGTTGACCAAGACATTACCCGTTAGACCACACATGACTACACGCGACGTCTGCAAAATCATTGCACATAAACTGCGCATAACAAATCCACAAGATTATTCTCTGTTCAAATTAATTGATGGCCAAGGTAACGATGATTAAGAATAAAAGCTGTTTAGCTACTATTGTACTGTCAGTCATCTTGATAATAATATATGACAATATTTTGTTCACAGAATTTTTGCTATCCGAAACCGACTGTCCACAAGACATTAAAAGTTCGACAACAGCCTGTGGCAGTCATTGTCTGTTTGCGTACAAACGAATTGACGCAAAGATAGCTTGGCCCCATTCACCTTCTCCCTAGGCCATAAAACTAGATTTAAAAAAAAAAAAATTGATTATTATTGTTTATTTATTTTTGTGTTTGTTTTCTTTATATATTTTTTTGAGAATATTTTATACTATTGTATAACATTTTTTCTTTGTGATTAGACTTTTAACCTGTGAACAATATCTTGCGCCGACCATTATCCTAAATGCTAGTCATAAAATTTGTGTGTAAGTCTGCGTAAACTTGAACATGTAAATAATGTAGTGAACACAGAATAACACACATTATTATAATAATCATAAGTATATTATTATTTAGACATTATGTTCTTTTTTTGATCATGTCTAAAAACGTTTTTTTTAAATTATTTTAATATTTATAAAACCTTTTTTTTCAAAGATATTTTATTATTTGTATGTTTTTTTAAACTTACTTAGTTTATAAAAAAAAAAAAAAATTATTTCGGCTCAATGACTGATAGGCTTGATACTTTGTATTTATGCTAAAAAGAGTAATTTCTTTTATTGTATGTGTACAATGTACTAAAAATGACATAAGATCTGAAAATTTATTATTATTTTTTTTTTTTTGTTTTTATACTTCAACTAACTGCATCTAAAATATATTTTTTACTTTAAATATTTTAAAAATTATTTGTATTTTAATATGTAAACTAATCCCATTCATTTGATATTATATAATGTTAAAATATTAACAACATTAATGTAATAATTAGTTAACGGTTGCGTTGTCATCTCGTTTATGTTGTAAAATATTTAATCATATAATATTCTTATGTAGTTAACAAATAATTGGTATTAATGACTTCTCGAAGTGAAGCAATTGGTTTTTATTTTTTACATACAATGCTATTATTATAATTTTTCATTTAATCATGTGGTGATTTTTATTGCGTCCTTAACGTAATGTGAAACCATATTATAAAAAAACATAAATTTCTCTTATTTCTAACAAACAAAAATGTTTTCATTCATGACGAAACACCATGGATCTTGATAAGATAACTACAACCCCTAAAATACAACACAAAAAATAATAAATATACAAAAATCAACGATGATACCTTCATTATGACAATGAATGGTATAGTTGTATTTATTATTTATCCCTGGAAATGAAATTATTTTAAGAGGATGTCACACCCGCTTGTGTTGTGTCCGTCTTTCAAATGTACGACATAGCAAAAACTGTTTTTGAACAACTTTTCTCGCACCACATTTGTTGTAGAACTACAAAATTTTCGCAAATAACTTTTTTTTTATTTATCTCGTCTAAAATACTATACCCTGTATGTTCAGAAATGTTGGAGACACTACTAAAAACACAGAAGGATAAAAGTTGTACCGCTCAAAACAGTTTTTTGCTATGTTGTACATTTACTTCGGTGTTCAATATGAATAATATCAGTAAATACCAGGTACTTTTTTTGGGTTTGATTTTTAGAAGCAAAATACAAGTGATAACGCTGGTTGGATCGGTTGAAAAAAGGACGCAGTGCGTTAGATATTACGAGCTGTAATGACAACGAATATTGCATTTTTGGTTTTGAGCGATTACTAGAGTCAAAATTCAGGTGTAACATAAACAATAATTATCTACAAACAATTCGCATTAGGTTTATTTTGCTAATATCTCTAACCATATACTCAACACTAAGTCTCTACATTTGAATACAGCTAATTGCATGTACCTACCTCTAAGATTTCAGTATTGTCAATATTTGAACACAAATTTTTATTTTTAAATTAAAAATTAAAATCTACATTTTGTATAGAACTGCATTTGTTAGGGGGCAAGTACTGGGTTCAAATATATTTTTTTATGCTTTTGATCTTATTGAACAATAATTCAAAGTGTTATACTATACCTATCAAATATATAGGTACCGACCTTATATAATTATTCATAATTTAGCCAAACTCATTTAAATTTACTCTAACTAGTTTTCTAATATACAGAAGTCACTCGATAATTCGAAATTCAGGGGACAGAGTTAAAAATTCGATTTATAGAGGTTTTCGAGTTATCGAGTGTTCGAACAATCTAGGGAAAACAAATCAATTCGAATTAAAGAGAGGTGAAAAATTGTATTTGTATATCACATTTATTTTGACATTTATTTATTGTGCATACCTATTAAAGTTTAGATTAGGTATATAGGTAAGGTACGATAACATTTATAAGCTATACGACAACATTTAACCACCCTCTTTCATTACGAGTACGTCAAATAAATTGTACATAATTTTTATATACCTCATGAACTTACGTCATATAATCGAGTTTAAGGAAATTCTAGAATCGTGGATTTTGGTGGAAAAAAATTCTAATTGTAGTTGTAGAGTGTGTCCTCAGACATTTCGAATTATCGAGGGGACCGGAATACATGTATTTTCTTCAAATAATCATCGAGGTTTTCTCAGGGGACTCGGCTTTTAGTTCGATTTATGGAGTTTTTCGAATTATCGAGTGACGACTACTGTAGTATCTTTTTGGGGGTGGCCAAAGTACTCTACACAATACCCCTTAGACCTTAGTACTGTGACTTCACTATCATATACGGTCTTATGGTGTGTTCTAGATATTTATAAAGCTGTATAACAACAATATGATATTATGAAAAACGTATACAGTTTTATTTTTAGATTCTGAGCGGAGCAATGTGTATGTATTAATTTCACAACGATGTGTATTTTTTATTAAAATTTTTTTTTTATTTCTCTCTGTCATCACCTTTTTGGACAGTAAAAATGCTTGGATTTTGTTCAACAGCATCTTTTCTGATAGGAAAGTGAATTCAAGTAATTCTTAGTGGTTTTCAAAAGCGCAGTGAAAAAAAAAAAAAAAAAATTAAGAAAACGGAAATTTCGACAAAATCTATTTTGGTTTTTCGTGTAACTCTAAAAGAAATGACCGTAAATACATGACATTTCGACCGAATGTTTATATTAGCATTTTATAAGCACCGTAACATTTTCAAAATATTTTGACTTGTTTTGAGCTGTTAATGTACATTTTCAGTTTCCGATTTTAGATTCTGAGCGGAGTGAGGAGGCTATAGTGATTTTACAATGGTGTTTTTTTTTATTTATCTTGTATACAAAATTTCTACCAGAAGGAGTGCTTTGATTTCAAACACATAGTACCTTGTCTTTTAGCAAATTGGATCAAGATTGTACTTGAGAGAGGTCATTTTTCGATTTTCTCAATAGTTATTTAATGCGCCACAGATAAACTACGGAAAACCACTCAAAATGGGATTTTAATTTCTAAAGCTTTGTTCATCATTGTACGTATAAAGAATAAAAATATAAATTCGACTTGCAGGCTATAATAAATAATAATAATATAAAAAATCCAGACAGGCAAACCGTTTCAGCTCAGAAACGTTTTTCTTATACAATAATAGGGGGGGGGGGGCCAACGGGCTGAAGCCCCACACATTGCTTGTATTATTATTACTTTAAAAAAAAATATATTTATCAAGTTTCAACTGTCAACTATAGTACCTAAGCAATACGTATAATATGAATTTTACCAGAATGAAATCATTTTTCAAAAAAACATTGTATTTGTATACCAATTTTCCCAAAATTATCTGTAATTTTTCGATAAAAGTATAAACTACGTCTTGTATGAAAGACTTTGTATTAAATTATCCAGCCTTAAGCTGTATACACATTTAATATTTAATAAGTTTTGAACTACAAATTAATTAACTGTTGTTTTAACGAAATTTGAACTTTAAATGCTTATAAAAAATAACCATGATGCCTATGACGTATCGTTAATATTTTAGCTATCATAAAAACTTACGTATTACATTTTTAAGCTTTTTGACTAGGTAAATAATTTATTATTGACATATTTTGTAAAAAAAAAATCGTTAATTAATCAAATACAATCCAAGTGGCGTGGACGGTATAACCAAGCTGGTTACCAAATAATTTTAACAAATTTTCATTTTTTTCTCCAATTATTTTAAAAAGCATTGAGTATTTTCAATTTGGACCTTCCAAAAGTACCATCTAGATCCAATTTGCTTCCAAAAACATACATCGGGCATCGAATAGTTTAAGATCAGAGAATTTTTTTCTACCAGAAAAGTTGAGAAGTTACAAAAAAATTAAAATACCTACCTCAAATAAACGTCTGAAATTATTAGACTGGACAAAATAAAAATAAAATTGTGACTAATTTTCAAGCCCCCTTCCCCATTGAAAAATTCTGCGTACGCCACCGAATGATATATTATATCATTTAATTCAAGTTTAAACAATCCATTGTACATTTACCCACTTGTAGCCTACTGTACAGCAGAGCGACATCCATTAACCCTCTTTTTTTTATGTGAAAACATCTTATGTGGCGTTTTCGAGCGTTACCCTTTTCGCGTAACGCTGGCGCTGCCGACGCGCTGATTGGTGGAGACTCGGTGCGACCCAACGATAGGCCGACTTCTGCACAGGCTTCATTACGATCGCAAAAAATTCTTTTGCCACCAACAGTCTAATTTGGACGTCAGACTGGCCGTCAACCTTGGGGAGGTAGTCCATGGGCGTCCCCGGGGGGGGGGCAAGACGGGGCACTTGCCCCCCCCTGGAATAATGTTATTTCCACAGAAATTGGTAAAATTCCAAATGATAAATTAGTTTCTAAAAGTAGGTCTACTAAGTTTCCATAACATATTATGTCAACACACGGCTGAAAACTATCATTAATAATAATCGGACTATTTTATCTAAATGTATTTTTTCAGTGCTCACTGCTCACATGGCAATAAATTATTAGCTGTTTGCTGTTACATTGTGTATATTATCAGAGTTTCAATTTTTATACCATATATTGATTCAATTTTACAATCTATAAAAGAAAGGTTTTGATAAAAAAAATGATAATGCATTTTTACTACAATATCTTCACCCCAACATTTTTAAAAAATTGGAGAAAAAAAAAATGTATTTTGAAAGCATTGAAAAAATTGCTGATTTCTATAAAATTGATAATCTCCA